AGGAACATAAATATAAAACCTTTTCCAATTTGTTCAAATTCAGTACTACCAAATTATACTTTCTAATTGTCCATTACGTCACTATATGTGCGATGGTTCACGTCGTTACTGTAAGTACTACCTAACCAGGAGTTTGGGTTAGACACGAGGCCTTTCGTTTGACTCCAGACCCGGGAACTCTTAGACATGTCCAACACCAGTGCAGTCGTGGTACCTTGAATCGACAACAGTTATGTAAACCATAAGAATTCCTGTCGTTATTACATTACATTGTGAGAAAAATAAATATGACGGAAATGGAAAATATTGCTAGGAAGAAAATAATTTTATCGTTAGACAAAAAAATAAACATAGTATTTCTCTTCGTCGATGTCCTTACCCATTCGTACACTCCGGCGACGCAGTCCGTCCTCTCACATACTGTACTACGTTTTGAAATGAAAATCACAGACAAAATAAAGCGGTATTATAAGTTATAGTTGCTCACAAATATTAAAGTTTTTTCTATGCGTATTCGATAGGTTAGGCTCAAACGTTTTAGTAAAATTTTTTGCCCGTTGTGGCCACTCTGAGAGGACGGGCAGGCTACATAATCTTCCCGGCTTGGCGCCTTCATTTGGTAATCACTTACTCGTCCAATCCTTTCCCTATCCTCTATCTATCCTCAGTCTCGTGTTCTAACCCATGTGCTCACTCATCTCTGGCATCCACTCTGTATCAGCCTCTCCATTCTTTCTTCCATGATGATAATTACGTATTCTCAATCGTTGCTCATCCATCAACTCCGTCTGCGTTCAGTCAACCTAAACTTTTCTTCCTCTCAAGAGCCTCGCTTCAGAATCGGATGGTCAAGTTGTCACTTGTGTGTTCTCATCTAGCTGTGCTTGCAGGGGTTGAGCTTTATCCTTTGGACCCCGTTTTAGCCTTCAATCTATTGGTTCCCGAGCTCTTTGGGCTATTTTATCTATCCTCACACATATGTGTTTGAAGGCTGCCTCCACTTTCTTGTTCATTCCATCTATTTAACGTGACACTAAAATTGTTCTAAATATTTTATATAAATCAACCGATTTCGTTCGGTACTATCTACGCCAATTTGTCGTTGTTTGGCCTATCAATTAATTTGTGAATTATATATTTGGTAGTAATAACTCCCCTTATTTTCTCTATCTTTCAGAGACGTGAAGCTTTATTGCTTTAGTCTTTCCTCGTAACTCATAATTTAGCTCTGTAATTAATATGTGGCATACCTCTGGATTTTGTTCAACTTTGTTTTATATTTGACTCCGGTCTGGCACCACATATTTCAAAATTACTGTAACACATGAGGACTATAGGATCCTGAACAAATATTCCTTCAGATTTCTGAAGGCAGTGCTTATGCTATTGATATTTGTATATGAAGCTGGTACTCACCTAGTTGTACTCACCTAGTTGTGCCTGCGGGGGTTGAGCTCTGGCTCTTTGGTCCCGCCTTTCAACTGTCAATCAACTGGTGTACAGGTTCCTGAGCCTACTGGGCTCTATGGCCATATCACCTCTGGGCTGGTGATATGCTTGGCGTGATAGTCCCCGGCTCTTTACCTTTGTTTAACTCCAAAAGAGTTTCCCACCGCTGTTTGTACTTCCGATTTCCGCTTTATGTGTGTGTTTGTGTAATTAAATAAGAAACAGGATGAAAAACGGATTAATTAAGTGACAGACAAAAAAATAGAGAGGGAGAGAGAGAGAGGGCGAGCGATTTCACACTATATTTGGATATATATATCCAAATCCACAGAGAAATGGGAAAGGGATATGAACGTTTCGGCTGGTTAGAGCCGTTGTCAACACCAGACTGACTGAGAGAAACAGAGTGAGGGTGGAGGCCAACAACTGCGACCTGACCACCCATCTCCAGGGAAAGATTTACCCAGAAGCAGGCATAGATTAGCTAAGAAGAGTCAGAAGGAACAAGCGGTCAGATAATAAGTATGCAAGATTAAACCAAAAACCCATTGACCAAACACATAATATTTGATTATAATATTGTATTGAGACATTGTAACCCTCCCTATAAGAGTTTTTAATTAAACTGTTGTGCAATATTGCAACTTAAAAATGTGTGTACAAACTTGACCCATCTTTAAGTTACAATATTACACATAAAGGAAAGCGGGACGCCACGAGCGTAGCTCTCATCCTGTAGCTACTCTTAGGTAATTACACTTATGTAATTACACATACTTAGGTAGTTATCAGTAATCTTTTGATATCATGAGTGCTTCAACAAGAGGCTCACAACAGTCTCTATACAAGGCACTTTACATCTATGGTGAGTCACACAGTTGCTGGTCTTGCTCCACACCCACCCAACTGGGCGGCAGCTTTACAGTCATGTGCAGGCTGCACCTACAGTAAGCAAATTTTGTATACTTTGCTAAGATTCCTGGCAGTACATCATTATGAATGAGTAATTACACATAAGTACTTACACATTTATCAAACTCCATTGAGACAGTTATCACTGAATTCTACGATTTTTTCTCATATATATATATATATATATATATATATATATATATATATATATATAATATATATAACTGAAAACTCACACCCCAGAAGTGACTCGAACCCATACTCCCAGAAGCAACGCAACTGGTATGTACAAGACGCCTTAATCCACTTGACCATCACGACCGGACAAAATGAGGTGATAGCCGAGGCTATTTGAACCACCCCACCGCCGGCACTCGGATAGTAATCTTGGGCATAGTATTTTACCAAATCACCTCATTCTTTGGGGCACACGTGAGGAACACAAATGCGAACAAGCCTGAATGGTCCCCAGGACAATATGCAACTGAAAACTCACACCCCAGAAGTGACTCGAACCCATACTCCCAGAAGCAACGCAACTGGTATGTACAAGACGCCTTAATCCACTTGACCATCACGACCGGACAAAATGAGGTGATAGCCGAGGCTATTTGAACCACCCCACCGCCGGCACTCGGATAGTAATCTTGGGCATAGCATTTTACCAAATCACCTCATTCTTTGGGGCACACGTGAGGAACACAAATGCGAACAAGCCTGAATGGTCCCCAGGACAATATGCAACTGAAAACTCACACCCCAGAAGTGACTCGAACCCATACTCCCAGAAGCAACGCAACTGGTATGTACAAGACGCCTTAATCCACTTGACCATCACGACCGGACAAAATGAGGTGATAGCCGACGCTATTTGAACCACCCCACCGCCGGCACTCGGATACTAATCTTGGGCATAGCATTTTACCAAATCACCTCATTCTTTGGGGCACACGTGAGGAACACAAATGCGAACAAGCCTGAATGGTCCCCAGGACAATATGCAGCTGAAAACTCACACCCCAGAAGTGACTCGAACCCATACTCCCAGAAGCAACGCAACTGGTATGTACAAGACGCCTTAATCCACTTGACCATCACGACCGGACAAAATGAGGTGATAGCCGAGGCTATTTGAACCACCCCACCGCCGGCACTCGGATGCCGGCGAGTGGGGTGGTTCCCCACTCGCCGGCATATATATATATATATATATATATATATATATATATATATATATATATATATATATATATATATATATATATTCTTACATTCTTGTACAGCCACTAGCACCCATAGCACTTCGGGCAGGTCCTTAATCCTAATGTTCCCCTGAACACGACCCGCCAAATCGTTTAACAACCAGGTACCCATTCACTGCTGGGTGAACAGAGGCTACAGTTGAGGATTGGTACCCAGTAAATCCTCCTCGGCCAAGATACGAACCCAGGCCAAAGCGCTAGTAAAACGCCAGGCTAGTGTGTGACCACTTGCGCCACGGGGACTGCTGTAACTGCATTCAATTACATAATACCGTAAAATATGTGAAATAGTTCTGCTGACAGTTTACATTTAGTCAAGTCTACATTAGCAAGTGGTGTAAACTCCCAGAGATACTTGTAGCCGAGCCTAAGCCTAGCACTAGTAACGTTTAGTAGTATGCTGACCTTACTGGATGGTTCAGACATGTGCGGTTCTTCCTGCATAATAGAAGGTTGGTAGCTGGAGACAGAGGCCTTGGTTCTGGTACTTCGTCCAGCCCGTCCTCCTGTTTTGGTAGTACTTGTAGTAACCATGAGGACCATAGTGTATATATTCCCATGTACAACCAAATTTGAAAAGTAGAAATCGGCACTATTGAGTTGGACAAACCGGAAAATAATTTTTTACTTTGTGTTGTTTTGACAAACTAAACTAACCTAACCATCCTAGGCCTAATACACGATATATGAGGCCTAATATAGTAGATATAGGTGCTATACTAGGCCTGGGAATATTTGTTTTTTTTAGCTTCACATTTTTAAAGAATTCCTTACTAGTTAGTATACAACTATCTAAGAGCTAAGTACGTACAAATTCGTGACTATTGACGACCGTCACAATAGATACTATCTCAACAGTAGGATGGGTTGCTTTGAGTCACAGCATAGCCAATAAAGGTGACAGTGTAGTGGGTAAAGATACTCAAAGACACAGTGTAACAGGTAAAGATACTTAGTCACAGTGTACATGACAAAAATAATTAGACTCACGGCGTAGCGGGCTAAAGGCACTTAGAGAGGCAGTATTGCGGGCTAAAGACACTTAGGGACGCAGTATAGCGGGCTAAAAACACTTGAAGATGCAGTATAGCGGGCTAAAGACACTTAGGGACGCAGTATAGCGGGCTAAAGACACTTGAAGATGCAGTATAGCGGGCTAAAGACACTTGAAGATGCAGTATAGCGGGCTAAAGACACTTGAAGATGGAGTATAGCGGGCTAAAGCCACTTGAATATGCAGTATAGTGGGCTAAAGACACTTGAAGATGGGCTAAAGACACTTGAAGAAGCAGTATAGCGGGCTACAGACACTTGGAGACGCAGTATAGCGAGCTAAAGACACTTGAAGACAGTATTGTGGATAAAGAAACTTGTTGGTTTACAACCATAACAAAATCGTTTATTTTACAATATTTATACAAACATTATTCCAGATGATTATAATACAGAATGAAGAATGCAATATAATGAAAATCGCAACAATAACAATATGGAGCATGTTGGAGAGAGTCGACCCGAAGCCGAGTGTAGCTACTTTCTGCTGTAGGTAAACATGACCTTAACGTCTGTAGGATGTTAACATCATCTTCATACTTGGACGAAGGTGCGAAGCTTTGTTTCTCTTGTGTATAGAAGATTTTGAGTAGCAGAGCTCAGAGTCCACGGATCTGTAGTGGGCCCCACTATAGCTTCTTCGTTATGTTGAGACTTTAATACATTATTTTTTTAGTCTGAAAATGGTTTGGAAGTCATATGTCTCTCCAGTCTTGATGAGTGTATAGAATAAATGTTCTTGGTATCACTGACAAGAACAGTCGGTGGCCATGGATCATGAATGTAATAGCGGCAAAAGAATACAATTACTGTAGTTGTCATTGATGATAAATAATAGTGAATGATGAAGAGTAACAGCTCGTGGTTGATAAATGAATGTTATTATGGTAATGAATCTTGATTCGTTCAGCATTACAAAATAACGCTGATAACAGATTGGGAGGAAAGTGTTAGGCGCTGAAGGCCAGGTTCTTGTGGAATGCATCCGATGTCGCAACTCATTGTGCAAAGTGTAGTGCAGCTGGTGGGCTTGAGACCTCCCAAAGTTTCCAGCTTCAGGAGCTACTGTAGCCTCATGCATTGAATACATTTTCTGGTCAGATAAAATCAGAATCAAACACCGAATGCCGCCCCTCGCAGCGCGATCCTCCTCTCATGATAGCCTTCAAAGGTCGACTGGAAGCAGGTTTCCATCTACCCTTTGGCACACAGCTCTGACGTTGTTGACTAGATATACACCAGACATAAATAAAGTATTTACATTTGTATATACAATGGCAGACTCGCCACTTAAATAACAATAAAGCATTACTGTCTACAAAGCCTCTTATAATTGGAACACAGGTTTTTCTTTAGGAAGCGTCCTCGACTGCAAGTCTTAAAGCATTGGCACAGTGGTCAGAGGTCCGCAGCATTCAGAAAGCTGCTGGTGGTCGATGCACATACCTCTGGCTACCTCTAACTGTACAGCAGCGGAGGAGGGAGAAGGTACTAGGTAGAAATTCCATAACTCTTCACTTGGTGAAGACCTGCGAGAGCAGTTCCTTCATCTCCTCCTCCGGGAAGACGTTACGTCTGAAGCGTGCAAGCCTCGGAGCAGAGGGACCAGGCAACAAGCGGTGGACAAAGGAAGTCGAAGTGCGGCTCTCAGTCATCATAGGCTCGAAGTCAGCACTAGGTTTGATGCCGGAGGGTCCTGAAGTCTGGCCAGCTACCTCAGTGGGGGGAGCCACCCGTACGGCGTATGGATGGCTGCTGGTGGCATGGGCGTTAGCAAATTTAACAGGGGCAGGGACGCGGACAGCATAAGGATGAGGGTCGTTGGCAGTCTTGTGGCTTCCAAAAACGGAAGGGTAAGGCCCGTCCTGAACCTCGTTCATCTGATCGTAATCTGTAACAAAGAAAATGGTATCAGTGATCGTAACTTAGTGTGGAAACTGGCTATACTTGACCATTTTAAATATTCTTATTATTGGAGCTCAAAAATAATACTTTACACAGATCTTTTTGTCAATTTAAATGCTTATAATAACTACCATGCATAAATCAAATGGGTATATAAAAACATAAAAATAAACCCCCAGCTTGGTAAACAAAACAAGGCTAAAGAACACACCTTCATTACTAGTGGAGATATCCTCAGTGTAAAAAGTCTTGTAGGACGGGAGCTTAAAGTCGCCCTTCATGACCTTCTCCCAGATGATACCCTTGGAGTTGCTCTGGTAGGGGTCCATCAGGTCGAGGGAGTTGTCTTCCTCGTTGACCAGGTTGGACATACCATAGAGCGTCAACACTTTGCGACAGTCTGAAACAACAGAGAGAAGACCGGGTGAGTCTCACGCTGGGACCAGTGTTCACTGCTTGTGTTAGAAGAGATGGACTGTGAGACCAAGAATGTCCCAGGAGGAAAATAGGTCGTAATAGTAAGAATGCTAGAAGAGAAAGCCTGTGATAGTAAGAATATCACAGGAAAACAATGTACTGTAGTGATGAGAATGTAACAGGGACAAGTTAATACTCTGTTTGAGAATTAGATAGAATTGAGTGCAAGAATTCATTTGGAATAAATTTCAGAGTTGAAGAAAATACAATCTAAAACAAGAGAGCATATAATAATCCCTTTTCACTTCTTCTCAGAGCTGTATGAAATTTCCTTACTGGAGAAACCATAATCTCATTGCAATACTATATATGTAGTTATACATATGTAAAGGGTATACAGAATGTCTTAGTATACATATTTTTACGAGACAGAATAGTACTTATTTTTTCTGGTCCCTCTTTGTCTCCCAAAACTCGTTAATCTCACTGGTGCAGGACGCCAAGGCAGGAATTTAGTGACTATGGAAGTTGCTGTTTAACATGGATAACAAAGACTCCAAGACGTAAATTTAGGCAGAAGAAAAAGAAAAGTTTAGCTGGTAAGAATGATGGTCTGACTTGTGTGGATGGTGAGTCAAGTAGACCAGACAACATTCTCAGGTGGTCTTCCCAGTGGGTGCATGTTGGAGGATGGGTCAACACTACTCCAGCAGGTTTGGCTCACTGGGTAATTGGAGCTTTAAGATCGTTTATGAAATATGATTTAAACTCCTTTGAACGTCTGTGATGCCCTGGAAGCAACACTGAAAGACATTCAGAACGCACAATTGGGCATCAGGGTATTAGCTACTTTTTATCTCTGTCTCTCTTTTTGTCGTTTTTAATAGCCATTGAAATCTAAATTCCTCTTTAAATTCAAGTGATATAAGCTTACATGGGAGAAATCGCCTTTGTGCACTCTTAACGCTAGACTGTGCACAAGTAAATTGATAACGCAACAATGTGGAACACGCTGAAACTCATCGACATCCTTCGTTCAGGGAAATGACGAGCGATTGTCGCTCAGAAAAAATCGAAATAATTTCTGAATTAAAAAAGAATGAAGAGGAAGAAATAAAATAATTACTAAAGGAATACATATGTGTGATGTGAACATAAAGAAGTTCATTACAGACTGAGAGAGTCTGTACATCAAAGTGCAGGAAGGTCTTTAAGACGGTCGAGCGCCACAGGAAGAAGACTCGAGACAGACTGGGGCAAGGTCTTTGCGAGCGAACCTTTCAGGGAGTAAAAAAAAAAGGGATACGAAGGCACATGAAACTCAGATGAGCGAAATGTTGTGAAGAGGTGAGATCACTAGACCTGTCGGGAATACCCACTGTCTCCACCACTATCTTCACCACACCTTTCACCCACAGCTATCACCACCATCTTCACTCCTACCACAACTACCACCACAACTATCATCTCTACCGTCTCCCACACCACCATTTCCGGCCCTCCAGCTCTGGCTCGGAAGGGACCGAGATGGCAAGAATCCCCGAAATTTCCTAGACGACAGGAGGATGGGGTTTTCCGGCGCCTCAGCTGGAGGGCGAAGGAGGGATAGGAGCGGCTAGTTGAAGGGGGTTTAATTATCAGCTGAGGGATCTCGTGACGTCCTTGGAGGGATTCTAACCTCTAATTTAAAAACAATCCATTACTAAATGTTTATGAACTGCTTTACTTTATATAAACGAAATCAGTCAAATCTGGCGATATGTTCCCATTCGAACTCTTTGAGCTGGTAAGTTTTAAAAGCTTGGTCAAATCAAGTTTTTAAAGCCACTTGTATGGCAGAGTTTGCCTTGTGCTACGTGAAGTAGATGCTTTATATGAGGTGGTGGGGGGGTGTGGTGTTGTGGTGGTGGGGGTGTTGTGGTGGTGGGGTGTTGTGGTGGGGTGGGGTGTGGGGTTGTGGTGGTGTGGTGGGGTGTTGTGGTGGTGGGGTGTTGTGGTGGGGTGGTGGGGTGTTGTGATGGGGTGGTGGGGTGTTGTGGTTGTGGTGTAGTGGGGTGTTGTGGTGGTGGGGTGGGGTGTTGTGGTTGTGGTGTGGTGGGGTGTTGTGGTGGTGTGGTGGTGGGGTGTTGTGGTGGGGTGGTGGGTGTTGTGGTGGTGTGGTGGGGGGTGTTGTGGTGGTGGGGTGTTGTGGTGGGGTGGTGGGGTGTTGTGATGGGGTGGTGGGGTGTTGTGGTTGTGGTGTGGTGGGTGTGTGTGGTGGTGGGGTGGGGTGTTGTGGTTGTGGTGTGGTGGGGTGTTTTGGTGGTGTGGTGGGGTGTTGTGGTTGTGGTGTGGGGGTGATGTGGTAGGGGCCAGTGGTAGTGGAAGTTGTTGTGGTGTGGTGGGAGTTGTGGTGTGGTGGGAGTTGTGGTGTGGTGGGGTGGGGCTGTGTGGTGTTGTGGTTGTGGTGTGGTTGGGGCTGTGGTGTGGTAGGGTGTTGTGGTTGGGGGTGTAGTGTGGTAGTGGGATGTTGTGAAAAGGTGTTGTGGGTAAGCTATTGAGACTTGTGGTAGTGAAGTGGTGAGGGGAGGTGTGAGGGTGAAGCAGTGGAGTGATGGGGCAGTGGTGGGGGGGAATTGGTTGTGGTAGAGGGGGGTGGGGTGGGGGGGTTGTGGAAGATTACGGGCGTCTGGCAGAGTTGAAGGGGGGGAGGGTGCTGAAGAGGGGGGGAAGGGTACGGGGTATAAGTTGACCAAGTTCAGTCTGGGAATTCCGAAGCTCGAGAGGGGATATGGGGAAAATTTGCCTCGGTGTGTGTGTGTGTGTGTGTGTGTGTGTGTGTGTGTGTGTGTGTGTGTGTGTGTGTGTGTGTGTGTGTGTGTGTGTGTGTGTGTGTGTGTTCACCTAGTTGTGCTTGCGGGGGTTGAACTCTGCTCTTTCGGCCCGCCTCTCTGCTGTCAATCAGTCAACTGTTACTACTAATTTTTTCCCACACACACGCACTCAGGATGCTATACACCGGTTGATTGACAGTTGAGAGGTGGGACCAAAGACCCGAAGCTCAACTAGGTGAGTACAACCATATCCTCAGTACACAGCCCGCAACAGCTAACTCCCAGGTAGCAACTTATTGCTAGATGAACAGCGGTATTAGGTGAAAGAGGCTTACTATTTGATCCCGCCGCGGCCGGGAATCGACCCCGGGTCCATGGACTGCGAATCCTGTACGGTGTCTCTCTGTATGTGTGTCTCAGGCCAAATAGCAAAGTCCCTATAGACAAGAAATCTGGGACCAACGGACTTTGCAACAATATTATGACGTAGTAACTTGCAAAACAAAATTGTTGAAGAACATAAGTATAATTTGAAAAAATATACTATCCTGCAAGTTAGAATTTAAGAGCAGACTAATAATACGTTAAGCAGTCTGCTCTCTGAATCTCATCGTGGGAAAAATTATAGATTTTCCTTTATATATATATTGCGTTTCAACAATTACCTTTTTAGTTTAGAGTACAAATTGCAGTGTAGTTTGAAAACTGTGTGATAATTATAACCAAGCAGAAGTGCCCTCATTAATCGTAGCCACAATGTGTGACGCATTGAACGTCTTTTTAAGGGTAGAACAAATAGAACTTCCTGTTGAAGTATACAATGGGAGGAAGAGAGTGCGCAATCTGCCCTCCCTGACATGACCTTCCAATGATCCCGGACTTGAAATCTAGCGCAACCTGGCAATCCACCCCATCGCTCCCAGTGTGTAACCGACTTCTTCCTCCCACAAATGACGCAGTATTAATATTCTGATAATATTGATTTATTTATTTATGTATTTATTTACAAGAAGGTACAATGGCTTTGTGAGATTACATATTATTGGTATTTTTACATTCTTGTAAAGCCTAGCGCATAGTGTTTCGGCAGTGCTAAGCAACTCGGGCACCAGGAAAGTAATTTATATATAATAAAACGGTTTAAATCCCTTAGAAAATAGCCTCGTGAGCCATTTGAGCCGATTCATTTAGTTAGAATTTCTAGTTGATTATTAGTTTCAATTTCTTGTGGATTATTATTTAAAATTTCTAGTTGATTACTTTCTATATTAGAAAGTAATTCACAGTATTATCTTAAAATGTTATTTGAAATAATATATTAGTGGGCAGAATTTCCATTCATTTAAGACTTTTAAATGGTTAAACTTTTAGACAGAACGAACACTGTTTTATCACAGAGAAATCAAGAATATTTCAAACGAGATGAAAACTGTATTCTGATGACTGAATATATGAGAATATGACCGATTCTCATTTGTTCTTTTAATGTATGATAATATCAAATTGTTGCAGCATTCTCGAGAACATCGCGATATCTTGTTATATCATCTTTTAATATCTTTATTATCGCGATATATAATTCTCTTATCCAGGGATCACTTAAAAAGTTGATATATTCTCCAGTGAAACTTAATTACAATGTTGTAATTTCCTACAGATCTTCCGGTGTTCAGAGATTATTTTCCGAGGGAACATCCGGTTCATGACGTATTTAGGAGAAATTCTCTTGTCCGATGAGAAAGCTTACGTGAGTCTGTTTCTGTCCGTGGGGGGTTTACCTCCATGGGGGGGGGGGGGGGAAGTAATGTGGATCAACCTCCCCCCCCCCCTCCCCCCATATTAGAAAGTCCTGCACTAATGTCGGTGGTGAGTGACTCCGTTAGAAAGTTACTCGAGGTAGCTTTGATTAATTGGTTTAGTCTCGGTTGGAGGCACTCAGATGTCAGCAAGACGAGTGATTTATATCAAATAAAATTGTTTAAATGCCTTAGAAAATAGCCTCGTGAGCCATTTGAGCCGATTCATTTAATTAAAAGTTTAAGTGGATTATTAATTACAATTTCTGGTGGATTATTAATTACAATTTCTAGTTGACTACTTTCTATATTAGAAAGTAATTCACAGTAGTATCATAAAATTTTATTTGACTAATATCTTAATGGGCAGAATACCTATTCATTTAAGACTTTTAAATGGTTAAATTTTTTATTAGACAGAACAAATACTTTTTAATCACAGTGAAATCAAGAATATTTCAAACGAGGTGAATACTATATTGAATTCTTAAGCATCATTCCAGTGTTATATCAACTCACAAAAACACAGGAAACCCAAGCAAGTGTGTGTAAAAAGTCTCCAACGTGGTCATACAAGCAAACATATTTAGACCTTAGATAGTGGGATAAATTCGTAAGTGGGTAACTGAGAAGATAAATGGGTAGTAGGTTATGGTTTCCATCGGAGATAAAAAAAAAACTATTTAGCTTATCAAGGTCGCCCTAGCCAGTGACTAGGCTATGTGAGTGGTCGCCCAAACCAGTTACTAGCCAGACCCAACGGTGTTTGACCTAGTGAAGCGCACATCATCCACTGGGCAAGGCTTTATAAGAGTACAATGAGTGGAAGCAATTATTTGCCAGCCACGCGTTCTTAAAAACAAAACGAAAAACAGCCTAGCACTACAGTAATAAAACATTGTGCTTGACAGCTCTGTGGGTAAACCTGATCTTACTTATATCTACGTATTTAAGTGTTGTAGGTGAAGGATACATAGTGTGAAACGTACACAGTATGAAGGATACAGTGTGAACGATACATAGTGAAGGGTACACAGTATGAAGGCTACTGTTATTGTTGGGGGATACATAGCGTGAAGAATACATAGTGTGAAGACTCACCAGGTATGTTGGAATCCTTGCAGTACTGGTCTACTAGGTGGATGAACACGTACATCAAGCGACCCATCTGTAAACAAAACAGAAAACACGTTAGCGACCTGTTACTAGTCAATGACACGAGTCTCCTGCTATCTCTCTCCTCAATCAAACTCTTGAGACACACTTGAGACAAGTCTCTCGTGTCAAATTCTCTGACTTCTGCAAAACTCAGTACTTATATATAAAATTATTGTATTTTTTCCCCAGAATGTCAGACACCCACAAACAAATAGATCTAGACAAGTACCTTTTCCTGGCGAGTCAGAAGCTCCCAAATAGGGATGGCAGAGGACGAGGCCATAGTGCCAAGTGCCAACACGACGAGAGCTCTGAGTGCCAGCATCTTGGAGCAAGTATAAGTATGTTTGATTTGCGAAGCTTTGGGTCTGGAGATATTCGAGGTTGTCCTTAAGCAACAATTTTGCTTTGGGTCACTTGGCCGTCAGGAGCAGAACTTGAAGAGGACGAGAGGATGCACAGTCCACAAACTTCCGTGAATGCGTCTGATAATATTCCGACAGGCGAAATAGATCAAGGAGGCACAACCTACCCCGGCGAGAGCTAGCAAGAAACTGTTACTGGTCCGGTGGCGTAGAAGCCTTATATGGCCTCACACGGGCCCTGTGGGCTGCCACATCTTCAATGGCCTTGCTAATGTCATCTGCCTTTTTAAAAGCCTATACCAGAACTGCACCTGTCACTGACTTTTATCTATTATATTAAAATATGTAACATCAAATTCAACCTAAAAATTATGAAAATTTTGAATTAAATATAATGGTTGTGGAAAATTTGGCAGCGAGACGGGGACTCCAACGGGGGCTGAGGTAGTGGAGGGAGAGAGTAAAGGAGTGAGGGGGGAGAACATAGCTGCCATTCCACAACACCCAAACAAACCCCCGCCCTGGCCAGGCCTGTCCGCGTGTCGCCTCGCTGGCGCCCACCTGAGAAAGTGACTCACCGCCGGGTAGAAAGGCCCCTCAACCCCAGACCCGGAGCCATCATTCCTCGGGGACGGTAACCCCCTAAGTCAGCCAGGTGAACACCCTGACAGAGAGAGAATTTAGCTCACTCAGCAAGGTGCTTCAGCCTACTGAGTGCAGCAGAGCCTCAAGCATGGTAGCTTGGACCCTAGATGTGTTATTACCATCCCCCTTGACGGTGCATTGTGCAGTAGCCAATCTCCCTTAATTAACCTAAGGTAATTTCACGAAAAGATCGAGAATCTGTAGGTCAGCAGTAGCAAATTTGGGACAGATTATGATATCTTGATGTAAACGAGAGTGGACAAAGTAATAGCAGAGTAGTAATTACCCCCCATGCCGGCAGGTCTAAAGGCCCTAATTACTAGACATCAGTAATATAATTTTAATTTTGGCGAATCTAAACGAGATGCTTTTTATTAAGTTTACACCTTGAATGGTCATGATTGGCAGATTAGTTGCCTGTAACTACCTGCCACAGGAAACCCTCCTTGATGGTGGTGGTGACATCACTGTTGCAGCTCCGGTAGAACCTTACCATCGTCGTGCCTACCTTAAGTCAGTGATCCTCTCCTGCTGCGGTCGCATCTGCCACAACGTACAAAATACAAAGTACTAACCTAACCAGAAATGTACAAACCCAAGCAACCCACCCAACCTAACCTATCGATGCATAGTAAAGGGATTTTTGTGAACCGCTACTTTGCATAGTACTCTGTAATTTTTACGTTGGAGACCATAAGGTACAGAATGAGACCTATTAGTTGAGAGGAGGAGTTAAGACATAGTACTACCCCTACGGCTTGGTCCAGTCATCCGTGCTGACGGTAAGTGAGTGCAAGCTTTATAATAGGAAAGAGTTTGTTCCAAAATTTGTTTAATGGCGAACGCCATGATTTCTTTCAGTACATTGTTGAGAAGTGTACGATCACAGGTAGGCTTTGAACACTGTTCTTGCTAAGATGTTTTGATTATAAGACCAACTACAACTCTACTATTTTAAACAATCACTGGAAAACTAGCCCGTCCTCTTACAAATTACGTAGCTTTTCGCTCGTATTCACTACGGCCAAAAATAGCCGTATTGGAATTTAAAAAAAAATCAAGTGAAATGGACTCAAACAGCAAGTTTTGGCTCCACTGGTAGGTTAGGGGAGCAGGAAATTCTCATAAAGTTTCAAAACTCGTGAAAACCGTTAATTTAAAGTGCCCTCTCCTAACCTAACCGAGTAAGCCTGAGGAGCCAAAAACAGAAAACGGGACCATACGTCAATTTCGTGAGCCGATTGAATTGTCTATTACGACCATTTTCGGCCTTAGTGCCGCATACGAGCGAAAAGCGACGTAATTAGTAAGAGGACTTGTTGCTCAACACACAAGCATTCCTACACTATAATGAGTTCATACACACCTTAAACTCAGTCACCTTTCTTACGTAACAAGCGCGATAAGTGAACACTCATCAAGCGACAATCATCCTTCAGACTAATACAATACATTTGTGTTATTTCACAAGAACTTGACTTTAGAAGGTGAACACTTAGAGCCTAAGCGCCTCCTTGACCTACTGACTCTAGCAAGATATCTTC